GACCCTATATGACAGAGTAGAAATGCCTCATGGGGTTTCCTAGGCTGTAATCTTCTATGGGAGCAGATCACCAGGTCTTTTCTCCTGAGGAGCTGCTGGTGGTTTTGAACTGCCAACTTTTCAGTTAGCAGCCAAGCACTAACTGCTGTGCCACCAAGGCTCCATATATATATCTACAAAAAACCCAAAAACCAAACCCATTGCTGTCTAGTTGATTTCAACTCATAGTGACCCTATAGGACAGAGTAGGGTTTCCAAGGAACAGCTGGTGGATTTGAACTGCCGACCTTTTGGTTAGCAGCTATAGCTGTTAACCACCGCGCCACCAGTGCTCCGTGTGTGTGCACGTGTGTATGCGTATATATATACACATACATACATATATGTATATATATGTGTATATGTCTGTATGTATGTATATATATATGTGTGTATATATATATGTATATATATATGTATATATATGTGTGTATATATATATGTATATATACATATATATGGAAGCAGCAGTCAAGAAATCAAATGACGTATTACAGTGGGCAAATCTGCGGCAAAAGACCTCTTTAAAGTGTTAAAAAGCAAAGATGTCACTTTGAGGACTAAGGTGCACCTGACCCAACCCATGATATTTTCAATTGCCTCATATGCATGTGAAAGCTGGACAATCAATAAGGAAGTCTGAAGAACTGATGCCTTTGAATTAGGGTGTTGGCGAAGAATATTGAATATACCATGGACTGCCAGAAGAACAAACAAATTTGTCTTGGAGGAAGTACAGCCAGAATGCTCCTTAGAAGCAGGGATGGCAAGACTTCATCTAACGTACTTTGGACATGTTATCAGGAGGGATGAGTCCCTGGAGAAGGACATCAGGCTTGGTAAAGTAGAGGGTCAGTGAAAGAGAGGAAGAACCTCAATGAGATGAATTGACACAGTGGCTGCAACAATGGGCTCAAATACAGCAATGATTGTGAGGACAGCACAGGACTGGACAGTGCTTCGTTCTGTTGTACATAGAGTTGCTATGAGTCAGAATCAACTCAATGGCACCTAACAACAACAGCTGTCATCAAGTTGACTCTGATGTATGGTGACCACATGTAGGTCAGAGTAGAACTGTGCGCCATAGGGTTTTCAATGGCTGGTTTTTTAGAAGTGGATCACCAGGCTTTTCTTCCAAGGTGCTTCTGGGTGGACTTGAACCCCCATCCTTTCAGTTAGCAGCCAAGCATGTTAACTGTTTATACCACCCAGAGAACCCTGGTGTTTGAAACAGGAACCATATAAATCAAAACTTAAATCATATAGATGATCAACAGTCTAAGGTTCAGAAGGCCTTTCCTAGTCTCAGCTCTCCTGTATATATCTCAGCAATCAGGGTTGGAGAGCCTGTTCATTTAATACACGACTGGCTTACATCTAACAGGATTTTATAGCTTTAAAGGGATTTTACAGACATTTCTTCATCCACAAGTAACCGGACGAGCCATCCTTGTTGCCATTTTACAGACACACAGTGGAGGTGCAGAAGGGTTTAAGGGCTTGCCCAAAGTCACAACATACAAGAAGGATGTTTCTGACCATTAGTTCCGTATGCTCTTTTCACCTCATCATTATGAAAGTTAGAGCCAGTGCTACCCACTAAAATGCATAGTGCAAGTTACCTGCGCGTTTCAGTAGAACAATCAGTTTTCATGTGCACTTTAGATATCAAATATCTGTTTTCCATGGATTATAATCATAAACTATTAGAAGCCCCTCCTCTGCCCTGTACAGTATCCCCTCTACATATTTCAGACATGGGATTCCCTCTGCTTGCAAACCAACTGTGTTGGGGAACTTACTACCACATAAGCAGCTCATTCCATGAATAGACAGCTCTACTTGTTAAAGGGATTTTAATATTTTTCAGAAATGTCACCATTTTAGAGGTTGCCTGTGAAAGTCTCACTTCTGCATGTATCACATTCATTCAATAATAGCATTTTATTCCACTTATGCTGTAATTGTTGGAGAACTTTATGGAAGATCCATAAATATTTGAGGGGGTACTAGAAATTTGTGTTTTTATGTGCTACTTCTTAGCAGTTGACAATAATGCACAAGAGAAATGTCCCTATTTTTGTTAGAGGCAATTTGGTTCAAAATTATCTTGACATTAACAGAGCTGAAATGAGGGATCCTACAAAGAACTTTGGAAAATGCAATCTGAGTGTTGATACAGTGTCCTTATGTTCCATATGGACACTCATCCATACATCCATTCACCACAAATATTCCTTGAGTACCTGCAGTGAGTCATACAAAAGAAGTGAAAAATTGGTTCCTGCCCCCTAGGATTTAGGCCGAGGAAAATCAATGACTAATTTTTTAGAAATAACGAAGAATTCTGTGTGTCACATTTTGAGCATAACAGTTCTCTGAGGGACTCCTTTTTCCCTTGTAGCATCACCTGAAAAAGCTGGAAGGCCGCCGCCTGGATTACGATTATAAAAAGAAGCGAGTAGGTAAGATACCAGATGAAGAAGTCAGACAAGCAGTAGAAAAATTTGAAGAGTCAAAGGAGTTGGCTGAAAGAAGCATGTTTAATTTTTTAGAAAATGATGTAAGTATTTAAACCAAACAGGAGACTTTCATATAAATAAACTAAACATTGTATGATGGGAATCAACATGTTGAGAAGCGCTAGGTCCTTAGTTGTCACAAAAGCTTCCAGAATTTTCTGTAGTCATAATCTCTTGCCTCAAGATGGCCTCAGACATCCAAGAAGACTCAACTGAAATGTCCTGGGTTTATCACAGGATTATTTCAGAGATGTGTTCCGGTCGACTCTGGGGGAGGTGGGGTTGTCTTAGGGGAATCACACAGCAGATTTTCATACTTGAGGCTGTAACATTTGTGGTTTTACAGCAGAATGGAAATCCCATGCCATGTGGTAATTTGCAATTTTGCTAAGATGGTGGGAAGCATTCTGTGAGGCAGAGTTTTGGGGGAGCAGGTCTGTTAACAAGCAGGAGAGCCTCTCTTATCATTACTCTCTGATGCCTTTACTAGTCATGGCTGAACATTCAGGATCCAAAAGCATGCCCTAAATTTTTCAGCTCTGCTATAGCGGTGCTTGTGAACTTGGCAATTGTGAAGGTCTTGGGACATATTCCTCAGAAATGCCAATCATCTATTGTATTGTGATTCTCGCTAGCCAGCTTTTATTTTATCTGTCAGTTGAAGTCAGATTACATGGAACTAAAGGGGATAACAGAGTCCCTGGGTGGTGCAAATGGTTAACGTGCTTGGCTGCTAACCAAAAGGTTGGAGGTTTGAGTCCCCCTAGAGGTGCCAGGAAGAAAGGCCTGGCAATCTACTTCTGAAAAATCGCTGCCATTAAAAACCCTATGGAGCACAGTTCTGCTGTGACATACGTGGAGTCACCATGAGTTGGAATTGACTCGATGACAGCTGGTTTTTTAAAGGGGATAAAACTCGTTGTCCTCGAGTCAGTTCTGACTCATAGCAACCTTATAAAGGGGATAATAACCCCCAACTGGCAACATGGCAGCTGAGAGCCACCCTGTTTTGCCTTGGTGACAAGGAGGCATTGGTGTTTTTCACTGCCTCAGTGGAAGAGGCTTCAGCCACCTGCCTCCCTCTCAAGTCCCTGCCATGAGCCTGGCCTTGGTGGTGGCATGAGACATCTTGCCGTGGTAGTAGGTCTGGACCTATTTGTTATGCTTTCAAACCTGTGGGACAAGTCAGGAGATATATTTATCCTCAGAATCATGTTGTACCTATAATAGTTTATTGAAAGGTAAACCAAGGTCTTGCATCTATTGATTGAAGTCAAACAAAATGTCCTGAGTACCTTTTATGTGCCACGATGAAGCGTGTAAGAATTATACCCACTGCTGACGAAGCATTCATCCTAGAGGAACCCATGTGACATTTCTCACACCCACTGAACCCACCAGTGCTGACAAGTACACTACATGATGTTTCTTCTTTTTAATTTTTACGCGTTTTTTACATTATACGGGAAATGGGAGGAGGTGGAACAATTTGCTGTTTTTCTTTTTTGTTTTTTTTTCCCTTAAAAATATAAATTTTCTCTTGAGATCATTTCCAAGCAATTTGTTTTGTTTTGTCTCAGATTGCAGTATTTGAAATCTCCCCTGGTGACTAGGTAAGGTATACACAGTCTTCTCTCGTTCACCTGTTCCACCTGAAACGCTCATGCTGAAACCACCTGGTACTTGTGGAGAAACAGTGCACAGGACTTGGGGGAAAGACGGAGCGCCAGTACGTGGGGGGTGGGTCAGACTTTGAACCTTCAGCCCCATCTTTGGCCTTTCTCTAGAGACCAGGCCAGGGCCAGTGGTTCTGCAGCCCATAAGATCTGCTCCCTCTGGGTCACCAACCACATGTCCAACCCATGTCACTCAGCCTCTTATCTGCATCTGCTTCCTTTCCTGGTGGGGAAGTCCTAAATGAAGAGCTGTGCTTCAGGATGACCAGTGATGGCTGAGCTTTCTTCCAGGAACTGATCCTGGGATAAAGGTGGCTGGAACCTGGTATAATTCCCAGGTTAAACAGTGGGTCTGCAGCCCCTGCCATTGCCCAGTGGATTGGACGGCACTTCCACCTGACCTGCCACCTGCTGGAGATAGGTACACTCCTACTTCCTGAGGATAGACAGACACTGTGAAACACATCGTCTCAGGGGTACAGGTGACAGGCAGCAGAGGCCCTGACGTTTCTTCCAAACACAAGTGGGAAATGCTTATATTAAAAAACCAGTTGCCATCAAGTCAGTTCCAACTCATGGTGGCCCCATGTGTAGAACTGTGCTCCACAGGGCTTTCAGTGGCTGATTTCTCAGTAGATCACCAGGCCTTTCTTCTGAGGCACCTCTGAGTGGACTCAAACTGCCAACCTTTTGGTGAACAGCTGGGTGCTTAACCACTTGTGCCACCCTATTGTGCTTCTGTTGTTTTGGGTTAGAGGTTTTAGAGGTATCAGTCATAGCCATTCTCCCCTCAGCTTCAGACCAATTGAGGAATTGACACAAAAAGCTAGATGGGAATCAAGGGACACCTCTTTTAGAACTGCTGTGAATACCTAATATTTGTAAAATAGAGGCCTTCTGGTAGACTGTGTTGGAAGATATGGCTTGGACCTGAAGTCAAGATAGTGCTTTATTCCTTGTGACCTCAGTTGATGGAAGTGAGCCCTGGCAGAGCCCACCTCACTCAGCCAACCAGATACAATCTGGGAAGCTGAAACTGAGGAGCAGGCTTCACCCGTCGTCTGGCCAGGGGCAGCCAGTTTTTGAGTCCGAATAACCTACTACTATCTGAGGCACACACCCCGATGTCATCCATAGGAGGAGGAGTGAAGAGGGGATGAAGAGGGCCTGGAAACATTCACTCCAAAGAGAAAGGGAATATGGAGAATAAAGGGAACAATTTGAGGTGGCGTGCTTGGTGCTCTGGGGCCACCTGCCCGTCTTAGCCTGGCACGAACAATTCGGAGGCCCAAATGTCACTCTCCAGGGACCAGCTGGCACTTTCTCTAGGCCTCATGTCTTACACTCCTGGCTAAGGCACAATAAAGGCTTTACCAGATACTGTCTAAAGAACACTTGCATGCCAAAACTCTGCCTGGTTTGAGGGGAGCCCTGGAGGTAAAATGTATCGGCAGTAACACAGCTGTTATGCAGCCTGAGTGTCCTGCCACAGGAGATAAAATGGTCCACCTATGCTGTCAGGAGCCCTGGTGTTGCAAATGCTTAAGTGCTCAGCTGCTAACTGAAGGTTGGCAGTTTGAAGCCACCCAGTGGCCTCATGGGAGAAAGACCTGGCGATCTACTCCTGTAAAGATTGCAGCCTAGAAAACCCCATGGGGCAGTTCTACTCTGTCACATGAGTTTGCTATAAGTCGAAAATCTACTTGACAGCACCCAACAACAATAGCGCCTGTGCTATGGTGTCCCCAATGAGAACAGAGCGAGGTGCCACGGGGTGGGGCTGAGTCAACAATGAAGTCCCCAGGCCCAGCCACAGTGGTACATGACCCCCATGAGTCTGGTTCATATGAGTCTCAAATGAACAATTTACATCCCCCATAAACAGGGAACCCTGACCAGGGATAATTTTATTGTTACATTTCACTTTGTTTGAGAATGAGCTAAAGCAGCTTGGTATCAGTTTTCTATTGCTACTGTAATAAATTACCACAAACAAGTGCAACTTAAAACAACACAAACCACATTATCTTACGGGTTAAGGAGTTGGTGTTCCATCTATAGGCTCTAGGGGAAGATGCTAATTCCTTGTCTTTTCCACCTTGGCTTAGTGGTTAAGAGCTACGGCTGCTAACCAAAAGGTTGGCAGTTGGAATCCACCATGCACTCTATAATTATGGCATTGATTTCAGTGACAATCCTTCCAAATTTATTCACTATAATAATCCTGTGTAAAACCAATTTTCTGTTATCAAATCTGGTAAAAAAATAGGGATTTTTAAATTGTTTTATTGTGGTAAAATATATATATAACAAAATATTTGCCAGTTCAACATTTTTTACATGTACAATTCAGTGACATTATGTATCTACTGCCCCGTAGAGTTTCCAAGGCACGCCTGATGGATTCGAACTGCCAACCTTTTGGTTAGCAGCTGTAGCTCTTAATCACTATGCCACAAGGGTTTTCTCTAGCACCATAGCTTCTTCAAATATCCTTCTTTGACCTCTGCTTTTATTGTCACATCTTCTCTGACTCTTACCCTTATGGACCCTTGTGATTACATTGGGCTCACCTCAATCATCCAGGATAATCTCCCCATCTCAAGACCCTTAACTTAATCATGCCCATAAAGTCCCCTTTGCCATGTAAGATAACACACTCACAGGTTCCAGGGATTAGGACACGGACATCTTTGGCCAGCATTATTCTGTCTACCTCTGGCTTTATGGTTCCCTAACTTCATGGTCCTCATCCCACCCATGACAGCTACCATTGCCTGCGTCTGGCCTGTGCCTCCTTGACCTCTAGCCTATGGGGCAGTCTGTTTGTATTCTGAGTTTCTCACTTCCAGCATCTGAGCTGAGTGTGAACCCATCTCTAACAGCAAGTGCACTTCACTTCAGAGAGGGGAGCTAGTTCTCTGGTAATTCTGTTCCTCTGCATATGGAGTGAAACTTTCCATAGGGCGAGGTCACACATTGCTTTCAAGATGGCACTCAGCGAAGTGGCAGCCCAAGTCTCCGCCTGGAGGTGGAAGTAAGCCTTTCTTCCTCATCCCAGAAGACCTTCCCTGACTAGACAGGTGGATTTGCCCAGTTGAGAGATACGGTGGAGGGAAAAAATATTTCCTTTCTAGACAGACTTCGACTCTTGCAAGGCCTGGGTTTATTGTTTTACTTTGGGTTTTCCTGTCCAGGTATTTAATTCTGATTGTGGTTTGGGAAGCAGAGGCCACCTGAGCTGATTCTCAGCATGTAGCTCACTGTTCCTGGCCTAAGAGACAGCTAGAAGTTTCCATTTCCTGGCATGGAGAGGAAGATAACTCACTTGGGGTACCACATGTCTTAAATGCCAACAAGAGAGGGTCACAGCTTAGTAACCCTCTTCAGTACTTAACATCAAGAACCTACTATGTGCAGCACTGCACAGAATTGCTGTTGCCCACCCCTCTTCCCCCTCAAGCTTTGATGGACTCCCAGGACTCATGTCCTTCCAAAAGTCAGCCATCAAATGCAAAAGTTGGGAATGAGTCTCTAGGTTATATAATCTTATATTTCAGCCACATCAGAGAGGATAGCTGGTAAACCCCTCCATCCCACAGATGTTTCAAGGAGTATTCATTTAGTGATTTTTCTGTTTCTTTAAAAAATCATAACATGTCAAGTATCTTTCAAAAGTGAATATTAAAATAGGGGAGATTAACTTCAGTGAAGACAGAGATTTTACCATTGTTGCCACAGATTTTACCAAGCATGCAACTCTAGCATCATAAGAATGAAAAATTCTTCCTGTAGCAAATTCTACTGTGATCATGTTAGGCTGTGGAGTTGGGCTTGTTTAAAAGTATGTGTAAAAGCCAAAGAGGTGAAACTTTAGAAATCCTTAGGATTTTGTAGGGGCCAGGCTGTCTTTGTTTTGTTTATCGGGTCTTTGGAAATTTAAGGCTAGGCTCATTGGCCTGTCTTTCCAGCCACAGAGCTGGTAAAGTAAACATAACATGATGGGATTTCATTGTTCAGATGCTCATCCCACTTTGGCACCAGTGGAATGCCATGTGTATCTTAAATACACAGTGAGCCCGTGTTTAAAGTAGTATAAATAGGTAAGGGAAATGAAAGTATAGGCAGCTAAAGAATGGTTTGCAACACTAAATGATAACAACTTCGATCTTTGAAGGCAAACAAATCCATGGTCAGTTATGCAGGGTGAGACTGTATGAGCGAATTATCAGGACAGATTTTCTTCCTAAAGCTGATTAGAAAATGAAATAAGGAAAAGATATATATAGGCATTGGGAAACCTGGGAAGAGCAGGGGTTGATTTTGACTTGAGTCTTTGTCCAGATCTGGAATTCACGGAATGAATTGCTGCTGGGCAGCCTGTCACCTCTCCCCGTGGTCCTGCCTCTGGCATTTCAAAAAATAAGTTTAATTAATCCCTCTTTTCTAGGGCAGCCCCATAGCCACATGGAGGAAGCTTTCAGATTCTCCTGGAGACTCCCCCTCAAATTATGTATCCTCAGGTCTTCTAGTTTTTTCTTACATGACATAATCAGTAACCAGCTGCCATCTAGCTGACTTTAATTCATGGTGACCCCTGGTGCGTCAGTGTAGAACTGGGCTCCACAGGGTTTTCAGTGGCTGATTTTTCAGAAGTAGATCACCAGGCCTTTCTTCTGAGGTGCCTCTGGGTAGACTTGAACCCCCAACCTTTCAGTTAGTAGCTGAGTGCATTAGCTGTTGGCACCGCCCAGGGACTCCTACGTGGCGTAGCTTCTCTTTGTTTTTCTTACTTTCTTTTTTTTTACATTCACTGTAAATTGGTCGCTGATTTAGTGGATGTCTTGATTTATGGGAAAGGGAGATGCCAGAGTCTTTATAGTTCATTCCTTTCAGCTCTATGTTTCAGATATTTTGGCCTCTAGCAATAAAAATGTATAGGACATTGGTGAAGCTCTGTCCTGGGACATGTGTTGCTCCCCATTCCCTTTCCTTATCTGAGAATGGCTTAATGTATTTTGTTTCTTAACTCGGCTTCGCTAGAAAGTGCCCATGGAGACACTTCACTAAGTAAGCCATTAATTTACTAAATATTGGCTGCACTTGTAATTGGAAAAGCATTATCTTTCTGTTTTCGGATCCGTGAGCTTTATAGCATAAAAATCTCCTGAGAATATCATCTAATTGGAAAAACAGACTTTTTATTGAGTTAAATCAAATTCCTAATCACAAATAAACGTGAACATGTTTTTCCAGCATATGCAACTCTATACCATGATCTGCAGGATCCTTATGCAGAGCTGCGAGATGAAATGGAATGTAACAGGCTAGAGTCGAGGCTGCTTTGGCCTTCCCTGCAAAGCTGGGTCTTGGTTGCTGTTCTCCTCTCTCTCTGAACATGACGTAGGCTGTGGCCTCCATGGAGTAATTTTCCACTTCTGCTGCAGGTAGAACAAGTCAGCCAGTTGGCCGTGTTTATAGAGGCAGCTTTAGACTATCACAGACAGTCCACAGAGATTCTGCAGGAGCTGCAGAGCAAGCTACAGATGCGGTAAGAGCCTTCACGTTCATTACAAGCCAAGGGTGGCAGCATTAAAGTGAGTCAATGAACCTCCTTTCTGCCTTAGCTCCTCCCTCTCTGTCTTCCCTCTCTCCTACTTTCTCTCCTTCCTCCATTTTTCTCCCACTCTTTCCCTTCCTTGCCTCCCCTCCCCTTCCCTCCCTCCTTTTCTTTCTCCTCCCTCCCCCCCCTTCCCTAGTCTGTTTTGAATTTTCCTTAGCTGGCTTTCATGGCTGGGTGTGGGATAGGACTGAGATAATACACGGTTTTGGCCAATAAGACAGAACTGGGAAAAGGGATCTGGCAACTTTTTCTTTCCTTTTCTTCTTACCTTATCATTAAAGCCCTTTTTCTTGACCTGTGTTCAGCCACTACAGTGCCTCTGGGCTTCCCTGCTGACTCAATGAGAGTTTAGCTCCCCAATTTCAAGCTGTGGGTGGTGATGGTCTATTACCTCCCCACCCCCCAACTCCTTGGGATGTGGACAAGGAAGAGACAATGTTCAGGAAGTATGTAAATATCTGGAAAAGATGTGTTACTAGTACAAATAGCAGGCCATGTCCATAATGTTGATTCTAAGAGGTATTGGAAGAGTCAAAATTATTTTCTGACAATCAAAGAAAAGTTGCTGCATTCATTGTGGCTTTAATGATAAATGCATTCTATATTTTTCTGAAAATTAGTAATCTCATATGTGGTATGCATGGTAACCCTATCTAAATATTGGGTTAAAAACATCCCTATTTTATAGTGGTGATTGTTGTACAACACGGTGAACATGACCAATGTCACTGAGTTGTACATGTAAAAAATGTTGAACTGGCAAATATTTTGTTATATATATACGTTACCACAATAAAGCAATTTAAAAATCCCCATTTTTCGACCAGATTTGATAACAGAAAACTGGTTTTACACAGGATTATTATAATGAATAAATTTGGAAGGATTGTCACTGAACTCAATGCCTTAATTATAGAAGGCAGATAAAAGGTGTGTCCAGTCTCTGACGCATGTACTTCTGTAGGCAGGTAGTACGTCTAGTATTCACATGAGTGTGTTTTCTTCTTCACAACGATCTCTATAAGAGGGGAAAGCTACCACCCATCTGTCAGTTTGTCGTACTGTGGTGGCTTGGGTGTTGCTAGAAGCTATGCCACCAGCATTGCAGATACCAGCAAGGTCACCCGTAGTGAATAGGTTTCACAGGTGCTTCCAGACTAAGATAGACTAGGAAAAAAAGGCCTGGTCATCTACTTCTGAAATTTAGCTAATGAAAACCCTATGAGTCACAACAAAATATTGTCCAATATAGTGCCCGAAGGTGAGCCCCCTAGGAAGCGACTCACAATACACAGGACTGGGCAGCGTTCCGTTCTGTTGTACCTGGGGGCTGCCATGAGTTGGAGCTGACTTGATGGGAGCTGACAACAAAAACAAGAGCGGGGAAAGAGGGAGAAGGTGGCTAACACTGTTGAGTGCCTGCTGCATCCCAGGCACTTGCTGTATGCCTCAGAGACTTTATGAGACACTCTTCTCCAAGATGAATTTCACTTAGAGGCTCAGATAAATAGCTGAAAAAATACATTTGAGATGCCATATCTATCAGTTTGGGCTATTTAAGAATAAAGGTATAAAAATCAATGCTTTATAACCACTGCCTATGACCCAAGTCTGTATGTGTGGCAGAGTACATGTATGTTTAGAGGCTTTGCTTTCTTCATCAGATGTCTGACTCATCTTAAAACATATGTTACAGAATATCAGCTGCATCCGACATCCCCAAGCGAGAATACCAGCCAAGGCCCATAAAAAGGAGTTCTAGTGAGCTCAATGGGATTTCCACTGCCTCTTTAGCAAAGACAGCAGGTGAGATGACTGTTCCGTGTGCCCTACATGTGCCCTTCAGAACGGCGCTTCTAGAAGCATTTGCTTACTGCTTGTTTCTGGGTCTTTCTGTGAATGTGCTAGGACTCTGACTTCTGTTCTTTGGGTGTTCAGTCAATCTTTTTTCCCAATAATGCCTGTTTTCCCTGCTTCTTGGTTTCAGATACTTAAGTCAGTTTTTGAAAATCAGGAAGAATTCCATAACTTCTAACGTGTTTAACCTTGGCCATAGAACCTGCTACATTATCCTTTATATTTAAAATCTTAACTCTTTCAAAATATTAACTTATTTTTCGAAAGGGCGAATTAGCATCTGTTGAGCGCCTGCTGTATGGTAGACACTGTCTTAAATGCTTTATCATTTTTAATTATAGAAATGACACATGAAAATATTTTTGAGTAAAATCATCGAACCAGAAAAAAAAAAAATCACAGCTGTCCAGTTCAGCAGGGTATGTCTTTCTGGAATGGCTTTAAGACTTTGATCCCAAACCGGTATCTTTGTAGGGTGGCCATATTTTATAGCACTGTGTTGAGGCTGTAGATTGGAAGTGTTAGGCTTGAAATTCATTTAAACATTTAAGCAAACCTGAAACCATTAGACTCTATCATCCGGCAAAAACCTGTGACTCAGGTTTTGTACCAGAGGTTATAATGAGGTAGTTTTGGGAAAAAGAGAAAAAATTCAAATGCTGTAAATCTTGCTATAGTCTCCTATGATCACCCACTCCATCCCAGTCTCCTCCCTAGAGGCAACCACTGTTAACAATTTGGTATGAATACTGTCATGTGCATATATATATATATATATAGTATATACACAAAAAAATTTCAGATATTTTTTAAACACAGGGCCATACTAGGTGTATTGTTCTGCAGCTTGCTTTTTATTTTTATTTTTTTAAATGTATCACTATTTCTTGGAGATCTTTGCATGCCATGCATATAGATCTACCCCATTATTTTTAACTGCTTCATAATTTTCATATATATATATGTATATATACACACACGTATATATATACATATATGTATATATGAAAACATATATCTCTATATATACATAGACCTATACGAACTCGTTGCCATTGAGTCAATTCCGACTCATAGCGACCCTATAGGACAGGGTAGAACTGCCCCATGGGGTTTCCAAGGAGTAGCTAGCGGATTTGAACTGCTGACCTCTTGGTTTTAGCAGCCAAATGCTTAACCACCGTGCATATACAAAACATATATATGTATGTTGTTGGATGCCATTGAGTCAATTCTGACTCATGGCAGCCTCATGTGTGCAGAGTAGAACTGCTCTATAGGGTTTCCAAGGCTGTGACCTTTTGGAAGCAGATCACCAGGCCTGTCTTCCAAGGGCTTATGGGTAGGTTTGAACTGCCCGCCTTTTGGCTAGTAAATGAGTGCTTAACCGTTTACACTACCCAGGGGCATATATGTGTGTGTATACATATATATACTGTGCATATATATATGTATAGTAACCAAAAAACCCATTGCCGTTGAGTCGATTCCAACTCATAGTGACCCTATAAGACAAAGTAGAATTGCCCTATAGGGTTTCCAAGGAGCAGCTGGTGGATTTGAACTGGGGACCTTTTGGTTAGCAGCCGTAGCTCTTAACCACTGCGCCACCAGGGCTCCATATATATGTGTGTGTGTGTGTGTGTATGTATATATATCATTTCATGATTAATGGACATGAGGTTGTTTCCAGTTATTTGCTATTTCAAACAGTACACATGAAGATCCTTTATCTGCCTCCATATGCTGATATATATGTATATATATCATTTCCCGATTAATGGACGTGAGGTTGTTTCCAGTTATTTGCTATTTCAAACAGTACACATGAAGATCCTTTATCTGCTTCCATATGCCGATGTGCAAGTCTTTCCAGCAAACTGAAGTGTTGAGTTAGAGCGAATGCGTGTTTTAAATGATAATAGATATTGCCAAATTACCCTCCAAAATGACCACACTACTATTGATGTGTAAATTCCTGTTTCCCCACAGCCAGCAGACTTCAATTTTTGCCAGTCACTCATAGGTAAAAGAAAGTATTCAGTTTCAGTTTGCCTTTCCATGATTAATAGTGACGTTGAACATTTACTCATTACGTTTAGTCATCATGTCCCCTTAGGCTCTTGGCCGTGAAAGTTTCTGAGATTTTTCTTGTCAGTTCCTTGGCCGTTTTGGGGAGTTCTAGTCAGGTATTTAGTAGAATGCTCCTCAGTTGAGTTTTGTCTGATATTTTCCTTGTGATTAGACTGGGTTTGGGGGAGGAAGAGCACAATAGGACTTACCACTGTTGATGTTAATCTCGATCACCTGGTTGAGGTAGTATTAGGTTTCTCCACTGTATAGTTAATTTTGTGTGTGTGTGAGAGAGACACAAAATCTATTGACTACAAATTCAGTTAACTACAAATTCATTTTCTTTAATGGATATAAGGCTATTGAGGTCATCTGTTTCTTCCTGAGTGAACTTTGGTAGTTTGTGTCTTACAAGGAATTTATTCATTTCATCTAAGTTGTCAAATTTATTGGCATAATGTTGTAAATTATGATAATTTTAATATCTATAGAATCTATAGTGAGGTCCTCTCTCTCGTTCCTGAAATTGGTCATTTTTGTTTTCTCTTTTTTTTTTCTGGATCATTCTGGTTATAGATTTATCAGTTTTATTGATTTTCTCACTCAGTACTCTTGCCTAGAGGCAGATGCCTGGGCTCCCAGGTACTTGGTACAAATGGGGGAGGGGAGGCTCACCTGGCTGCTCTTTTCCCAGAAGGCCAACCAGTCATCTAGCTTCCAGTATCCACTTACTCTGAGCTTCAGCCAGTCTCAGAATCCACCTTTGAAGCCTCCTTCTTCAGGAACCATTCTGAGCTTGGTTTCCTCCTTCTGCTGTCTTCTGTCTTCCAGGTATTCCTCATAATATAGTCTGCCAGCAGTGTTTGTTCTTGTTTTCCCAACATTATTTGGAACTTAAAAAAATATCTATTTTATGGTTGTTAGGGATTTAGTACATGAAAGGAAGGCTGCAGTCATATACTCAATCTGCCATATTAATGCAAATTTCTCTTAAAGTCATTCAATGTCATATGTCCCACTTGGATTCATCTCTCCGGTGTTACTCAAAATAGTTTTAGGTATTAAATGGGTGTAGACGTAAATAACCTTAAGTCACATTACAAGAAAAGTATTCTTTTTATAACTTTCTTTTAGTCATTCTGATTTTAAGGAGATAAAGCTACAGTTTTGTGCTAGAATATTTTTAATGTCCAGTTTTAACAGAGATAATAGGCCTCAGGTTATAAGCCTCTTGCAGGCAAGAGTGCCTAGCTTGAATTTAATAAAATTGTCTACTTTCCACCATAGTTATTTTTATAGTTACAGTCTCTTTATAGCATGTGGCACTAGTTTTCAGTTTACATTTTTGAAGTAACATTTCATTTAAAGTTACTTGTATAAAACTGATTTCATTAAAATATTATCTAGAGAATACTTAGGTGCAGTTCTCTGAAGAAATCTTTTATACTGTATTAGGGTAACTCTAGCTTCTGTCTAGGAGTCCCTGGATGGCACCAAGGGTTAAAGCTCGGCTACCTGCTGAAAGGTTGGCAGTTCACACCCGCCTAGAGGCAGCTCAGAAGACAGGCCTAGTGATCTGCTTCGGAAGCCTCACAGCCTTGAAAACCCTATGGAGCAGTTCTGTTCTGCACACACGGGGTCACCATGAGTTGGAATTGACTTCATGGCAATTGACAACAACAGCTTTTGTCCAAAAACAAAACAAGACTCCAAGGCGCAGTGCTGGGCAGGATGGGATTTTAGTTCTCATTCATGTGACAATCCCGGAGAGTATTCCAAGAGGGTGGGTGGTTCTCCATGGAGTCACTCAGGGGCCTAGGGTAAATGGCAGTTCTATATCAAGTGGCTTTGAGGGTAGTCTTAGTTGTTGCCACATCAGCCAGCAGGAAGGGGACAAAGAAGTCCCGGCCAGACGTTTCCTCTTAAACCAATGAGGTGGAAATGGCACACTCACATTCCAGGGATGAAAGCTCAGTCTGTTGGCCACACATAGTAGCAAAGCCAGCTGGAAAACGCAGTCTCTTGCTGGGCAGCCACAACCCAGTTACAGTGGGCAATTACAGCAGGCAGTGGTCCATACAGTGATGGAATCTGGCTGAACAGGCATTGCAAGGACCCTTTACCCTGGCAATGAGGGAAGTTTCTCGATTAGACCCTGGTTCTGCTCTCTGGAGGGAACTCTTTTGTCCTTTATCCCATGAACACCTATATTTGCCCTCAGATGACTTTCATCTCTTCCAAGGCCACATCTGAAGTGGGCTTTGGAAAGCTGTTTTCTTTGGGGATTGTGCAGATTTCACAGGTACTCACTGCAACTGAGGGGCCTTGAGGGTTTTTTTAAGGTTAAGTGGATGCAGACATTTGCAGGTTAGATTGTGCTTTCTTTCACAATTCAGTTCCTTCAAAAACTTAAAGAGCTTCTGATCTGTATGCTCCCTGGCGTAACTAGGGTATGGCAGTTACTGCACTGGCCCTGGGCACGTGCAGTGCTACCAAGCAGTCTCTATTAACTGGGTACAGCCAGCAGCATATCTACGGAAAATGACACCTGTGGCAAGCACTGAAATTGTGTCCCTGTCCAAACATCTGACACCTATCTTTTAGATAACTTTACCATAATATCAGCTGAAAAATACTAGTCAAGCTTGTTAATCTTTTATTTATTTTTCTTTTTTTTTATATTTTATTGTACTTCAGGTGAAGCCTTACAGAACAAATAGTTTCTCGTGAAACAGTAGTACACATGTTGTTTTATGACACTGGTTAACAACCCCACAACATATTAACCCTCTAAATTCTCAACCTTTTTTTTTTTGGTGAAACTACACATAGCCAAAGATACACCATTTCAAAAATTTCTACATGCACAGTTCAGT